ATTTTAAAGAAGACCCATGGCAGATTATTGTTGAAGTAAAAAAAGTTTAAAAAGTGAAACCCCCAAAAAAGTTCTAGATGTTTAGGTTTATGAAAATGATTTATGAATGATGTTTTATATAAAATATATATTTTATGAAATATATTGAACTCTATACCTGCTAGAAAATCAAAGCCATAAATCTAAACAAGTTGTATTCCAAATTTGAGGTTGATATCTCAAAAAATGAGCTTTCAGTAAGATTTTGTTTGGGCACAGTACCACATTTTCCCCATTAGATGCCAGCAAAACTCTGCTGTGAACACAGTGGTTGGATTTGAGATTTGAGTTTTTCTCTCTCAAATATTTCAAGAACACACACAATTTTTATTTTTTTTCTGAGAGGAACAATTTTTTGTACCTAGTGCAAAACAGATTTGTTAAAGGAAATGGAAGTGAAATAGTAAAATTCCAATAAAAATACACACCTGTGCCAAAATGTATGCAGTTGGCAATAACACAGGCAAAATGATAAAAAAAAAAAAACTGAAAAGGACAAAAATGTCCAAAAGGTCGCACAAGGGTTAAACTAGTTTAAAGACAGATGAAACAGTGCTGACATTCTCAACAGCACTGACGCGGAAAACAGGAGAAACATCATGCGACAACAACCCAGTTACTTTTCAATCCACAAATCACCAACATTTACAAAGGATTTACTTTAGAAACACTAGCTAACTGTAACTGTTATTGTGACAGAAATGTAGGAAATTCATATAGAAATGTATTATATGTAGATATAGGCCTATATTAACAAAGTGATTAAATATAAGCCAAATTACAGACAATTTTGTTATAAGCAGTTTTGTGCGTTTCTATTTTTACTAATTAAATGTTTATAGACTAAATAACATAAAGCCATTTTAAATATTGTAATTAAAATTTTGAATTCATGGGTGTCGCTAGGCCATTTTTAGGGGGGCTATAGCGATTAGTTCCATAAACTGTGCACGAATTCGTGATCGCCTCAGTCCCCTTTAAATGTCATATGAAAACTGCGGCAGACTTCGATCGGCTCCTCCCCGTCTTTCAGCGCGTTGCGCGGCGACGCAGAGCAAGAAACAGAGGACAAGGTGTGTTTATCGATAGATTGTTATAATATCTGCATCTGTGCAGTTCTTTGTCATAAATACAGTTTACAAACTACAGATGTCATACACAGATCGGTCTGCACACGCAAACAAAGCCAAAACCTATATAGAAATCCTGGCCAGGACGCGTCCTGGGGAAATGGCACATATGGTCACCTGCACATATGCACATATGGTCACCCTAATGTGTGTATATATATATATATATAGAGAGAGAGAGAGAGAGAGAGAGAGAGAGAGAGAGAGATGCATCCGGCCCCGGTGTGTCCACGACATCGAATCTGGCCTCCTTTTAAAAAAGTGTGGACACCCCTGCTCTGCTCTAAATAAACAAATCTCTTACACGTCCTGGGACTCGTGTCATCCGCATGGATATCAATCAGGTTCTTGATGTGCACTGACCACGGTCTTTCGTGGGCGTCCTGAATAGTTAATATCTCATTGTTATCCACGCTGTTTCATTGTTATCCACGCTGTTCTAATCCCCCGGTGGCTCGCGGGCTCACGGTTGTTCGGATCGGGTACAATGAAGCATGGGAGGAGGAGCGTCGACTATTATTTTCGGCCGGCGCGGCCATCTGCTGCTCGCAGGAAACCCAACACCCCAGAGACGCCCCAGTATCCACACTGTAAACTACCGAGGATGTTTTAATTAAGGCGAGGCAGGTTAACTCTACTGCTTAATGAATAGCCTTCGTTGGCCTTACCCTTGTCGTCCAAAAGTGCTTCTGGTCTCGGCCTCCTCCAAAAACAGTCTTCTAATCCTGGTCAATGAGTACCTGCACGTTTGGGTGTCTCCCTTATTTAAGACACCAGGCTATATATATTTATATCTTCATCATAGCATCAGGTCATTTCTAGAGGTTACTGTGTGTTCGTTCAAGGAGGCACCCAAATTGTGTAGATCTTTTGAGATTTATTAATTTATCTCCAAACTTTAGACTAAATTGAAAAACAAACAAGCAAATAAATGAATAGTGGTGAAACAATTGTCACTCAGAAATGTAAGTTAAGAAGGAAGACTAAAATATTTTTTGTAAGTCTAATGATCTTTGTTTTATTTACAACTTTTATTTACAAATCTTTTCAGTGTACCAAATCTCGTGTACCAAAAAAAGGGGGGAAATGAAGGACAATACAAAAGCATATTTTCAGCACATTTTCAATCATTTGTTCTCCATCGATGTTTGCTCAGTAGCCTACCTAAATATGGTTCTCAGTGACATTATACAGTTAAACAAAGTAAAGGTGGTGGTAAATGTGCGACAGAACAATTAGAGAAGCCTATCAATTAAAATAATAGTTGTGTTTATGGAACCCTAGCCTAATTAAATGTACTTATTTTTTTGCTTAATTAGGCTACTCAGCAGATGACACTCATGATAGTTACAGCGCTTCCTAGTGGTGATCAGAGACATCGCGTCCTCCATAAACTTAAGATCGGCCTATACAGTAAATTATGATGATATAGTTGATAGACTTTAAATAGCAATGATACCATGTGCTTATACTGTACATATTCATCCCACTAAAATGTGGCATAAGAATACAATTAGCAGCTGTGGGAGTGAGTATCTTGCCCAAAACTCATTGAAGCAAATTCTTTACTGAAATTCAAACTTGTTTTACTTTTATCTTCTTCTTAAACCAAGTACTGTGGACATTACATAAATCAAAGTAGCCTACAATTCAGCTAATGTTAGGTTAAAAGCAATACATAATAGCGTGTTGGTCGCGAGATTTATAATAGAGATATGGCATGAAAAAATGAGGATGTTAAATAAACTCAATAGTTACAGTAAGAGAATATTTGTAGGCTACTGTTCTCCAACTTTACGTATACATCAGCGTAACCCATAGATACATATATATATATACATATCTATGCGCTTAACCACAGTAACAATGTGAGACAACATGATTAGCGCAGCAGAACAAATAATGTACATTTCCTAATGAAAAATCAGGCGCAGGATGATGACGACTACACTAGGCAGTGGTCCGTCCAATGAGAGCAGTGAACTGTGATTTTGGAAATAGTTGTGGGTGTCCATATCGATGATGTAATAAGTCTAGTAAAAATGTATCGCTACCAATATAATTGATCGTCATTACTAGCGCGAACAGAAAGGCTTGTGGTCGCCAAGGTGAACCATCGACCAATCCATATTGGAGATAAAGACCGGCTCCTATTTGCGCTCTGCATCTGAAAACGACAATTCTCCATTGCCATGATAACTCAAGCGAATTTTTCATGGGGAGTAGTCGACTATCGGCGTGACGATGGCTACGCTATTCAGGGCCGCGGAGACAGAATGAAACCGCTCAGCCGAACGCTTTCATGAAGAGATTGGCTGTAGGAGACTTCACCAGAACATGCCATGCAAGACAGCATATCAACGATTCACCATAACATGGATACACGTCCGTGGTATGTTTTATGTCTAGCTGTTTCTCCAGATGCAGTAGTGTCAGTTCTCAAACCGGTTCCAGGAGACATTTTGTAAAACACATAGAAAACCCGTTAGCGCCCCAGCAAGCATATCGCTTTAAAATGTTTTAAACCGTGAATAATTTGTGCTAACGTTTTTATCATGTAAAGCTAATATGATAGATAAGTTTTAAGAACCTCACTATCACCGTTTTCCCACGAGCATATCTTTATAGTTAAAGTAGTTTGCCAAATAAACAGTAGGAGGCACTTCGGGTTTGACCATTTATGTGCTACATAGCTTCAAAATAACTCACGCGCAGTTTTAAAGTTATAGGCCTATCCTAACAAAACATTAGGAACATGGATCGCGGAACGAACCAAAAGAGGGGAGGGAG